GCCTTCTCACTGACTGAGGGAAGGCAGGCCCTTGGGGGAATTTGAGAGGCGCCGTGGACTGGTGTCCTGAAGGCTTAAAGGCGGTCCTGCAGTGGGGGAAGGGGGAAGATGTTCTGCCCAGATTGGCAGGCAGAGGCAAATCCATTGCTAGATGAGCTGATGGGCAGGTGGACATGAGTGAAGAAGCAGGGGTTAATGGGTGCTCTGGCAGCATGTGGTCCAAAAGGGTGTGAAACAAGGTATTGAATGTGGGCTGTCTGCAGACAAGGCCCCTCAAAACATTCAGTTGGTTCCTCTAGTACCTGGAAGTCCAGGGCCAAATCCCAGGCTGCCGTGAGGACCCTGTGCAGAGAAACCATCATGAAACCCAGGTGAGCCCAGAGACCGGATTCTAGGCTTTGGGTGAGGAAGATGGGGGTGGGGGATAGAGATTAGACCTGGGGGAGGGGAGTTAAACTGGGAGGCCAAGGGGGCAAGTCCTGTGTCTTATAGACCCAAGATAACGCCAGTTCCAAATTTGAGAAGGTGAAGTGTGGCCTTTGGGACAAATGTCAGTGAAACTGGGGTCAGCCCTTGTCAGAGGGCACCAGTTCAGGCTCTATCAACCTCAGCGTTCTCTTCCATTTAGGGTGTGGTCAAATGGCAACCCACTCCAGTAGTCTTGCCTGGAGAACCCCGGGGATGGAGGAGCCTGGTGGGCTGTGTCTATGGGGGTCGTGAAAGTGTCGGACGTGACTCAGCGAATGAACAACAAGAACAACAAGAACAGCAACAAAACATGATCAAGCGATGTGACCGTTGCCCTCTCTGTGAGCTCCTAGTGTCTGCAGAGGTTTGCCAGGCAACTCCACACATCTACAGCAGCAGGGGTGTACTCCTGTACCCACAGCACCCAGAATGGGGCCTCGAACACTCTGGACACTGGGCGTCACCTGCGTGGACTCAGACGGCACTGCTGAATCATGATGTGGACAGTGGCACGTGGAGGAGGAAGCTGTGGAAAGGCAGGACTTCACACACTAGAAGCGAGTTGGGCCTGGATCCTCTTCCAGCAGCGGCCCCGGTGGCCCTGGATCTGATAAAAGCCCATGGGACTGGCGGGGCGAGTCGTGCCCAGATTTGTCTGGTGAAACTGGCAGGTGGGAGAGTTCCGTGAGCCAGCAGCAAATCTGTTGAGGGTCATTCGGGGGTAGACCAGCTAGACCAATCCCTTGTCTTGATAATGGAGATACTGAGGCCCAGGGAGGTGAGGTGGCTTGTCCAAGGTTGGACAGCAGGCATTTGGATGTTGAGATTTCCCATCTGCTGACCCCTCGTATGTCATCCTGGGGTCACAAGACAAAGAGGAATCCTGGAGAGGGTTGGGGCCCCTGACCCTGAACAATGCCACCTCCTCCACCAATCCTGACCCCCAAAATAGTCATATAAGTTCAAAGAGAATAATCTCATGCTTTCTTCTCATTGAATCTTGTCATTCACAGCTAAGTCCCAGCATGAGAGGCAACCCCAAAGGACTGAGTCAAGCTAGCCATCCCCTGTGGATGCCCTTCTACATGGGTTCTTGCATACGGACCTCTCCCCTCCAGCCTCTGGATGCTGTTCCTGTCTGTTCATCCAGGGGTCACTTAACCAGGGTTGACCATGGCACACATACCCTGAGACTCCTCACCTCCCTCCATGGAAAGAAAACTAGATCAAAGTAAGCCCCAGGGCCTGTGCTCATGGGCAAGGCCCCTTGTCCTGGACTCCTGAGGGCTGGTCCAGCTTGGGGTGCCCAGAGACCCCCCGGCACTGTACAAATGTTTCAGAGACTGCCTGGCCTTGGGAAATGCACACAGGCAGCTTCTGCTTTTGCAGTCAGCCCTAGGCTTCTCCACGCTACACACCTCTAGGCCCCCAGTGGCCTCCTGTCCTCTCATTCTAGTCTGTGCTGCCCATCGCTCCGGCGCAGTCTTCTCTAAAGTGACTTCTGTTACTCTTCCCATGGGCAATCTCCAGCAGTTCTCTATGGCCCCCATCAAAGTCATGCCTGTGCTGGGCTTTGGAGACCCTCCATGACCTCCCACTTTCTCCTTTCATCACCATCACAGGGGGCCTCTTCACTTTTTATATTTTTAAAAAACATTTATTTATTTATTTTTGGCTGTGCTGGGTCTTCATTGCAGCTCAGGCTTTTCTCTAGCTGTGGGGAGTTGTGGGGAGCGCAGGCTTCTCATTGTGGCGGCTTCTCTTGTTGCAGAGGACAAGATCCAGCATCTTGTTGCTCTAGGGCACACGGGTGTCAGTAGCTGTGGCTCCCGGGTTAGTTGTTCCATGGTATGTGGGATATTCCCGGACCAGGGATCAAACCCGTGTCTGCACTGGCAAGCGGATTCCCAACCACTGCACCACCAGGGAAGCCCTTCTCACTTTAAAAAATAAGCTTTGCCTCTGTGGTTTCCCCAGTCCAGAGCACCCTTTTCCCCTTCATTCAAGGATTCAAATCTCTTCCTTCTCCAGGGCCGGCCTACACTTGGCCTCCTCCAAGCAGCCTCAGGACACTGTGGATTTGAAGATCCAACCCTTTGTTTTCTAGATGAGGAAATCGAGGCCCAGAGACATTAGCTGACTTGCTGAGAAGTCAAATCACTAGGTAGAAACTAGAAATCAGTGTTTCCTCACCCTGCAGTAAAATACTTTTCACTCTTCCCAGCTGAAGAAGGTGTATCATCCTGGAGGGAAAGGGAACCTGGAAAGGGACAGGACTGTTCCTAAGTCCACTGGAGCTCCAGTTGTCCTTCAAGCCAGAAACACACAATTAAGTGCTTAATTATACGCTGCTCTGCATTGTTATTTGAGTGTTTCCAAAGGAGATTGTAAGCCCCTTGAGGGCAGGGAACTTTCCCTGTACCCTGGATCGTGTTCCCTCCAAAGCCCTTAGCACAGGGCACGTGGAAGACATCACACGGTGGGACTGGAACCTGGGAACTTTCATCTGCCAGAATAATTTTACCGTCTCCATTGCTGGCAGCAAACAAAACAGCATATGGAAGCCAAAGAGACTCTGCCCGGCGGCAAGTCCGGTTCCAAAGTTTTCACGGAGATGGAAGGGGGGTGTCGGTGGGAGTGCACAAAAACCGTGGCTTTGGCAAAGATCCAAAGGGGACAAATAATGAGCTGCAGGCCCAATGGGCTTTCAGTTTCATTGCCTGCTGCTGCTGTCATAGGAAAGGTACCGATGGCTCTGGATGACACGCTGTGTAAGGGGTGGCAAAGGTCTCTGGTGCGCGCACCTCTCCTGCTCCTTCGCCCCTTTCGCAGCTCCTCTAGGCACCGCCTAATGCTCCTCCCGCCTCCATCCCTCTCTCACCCTGGAAGAGCACTTGATCTGCTGGAGGCCCCTTCAGGGGACTGTCTGAACATTGTCCTGTCCAGGCACCGGCCCCGAGACCCTGATGCTTAACGTGGACCTCGAAGGCACTGTGTTACTTTATTCAACTCCCATGTCGCATAAATACCGTAGGCTGAGGCACTGGTTTCCAGCCCCCTTGGAAAATCGCAGTACCAGGACGGGGGGAAGGGGCTTCGTGATGAGACAGGGACCTAGGAACTGGAGAAACTCATCTTGGCCCGGGCAAGAAACATTTTTCTTTATTTTTCTTTCCCTTCTCTCTTTGTATCCAAACTTGAAACCGTGTCTCTGGCAAAGCTGTTTGAACAGATTTACAGATTGGTGAGGCGCTGGGGGCGCCCGGGGAAGGTTCACCGGTGGAAAGGTTGTACCAGCTCCACTTCCAGGGCGGCCTGGAGCCGCCCGTGATTGGCGGACCCTGCTCGGCACATCTGAAGGGCTCCACACTCCCCTGCTCTCCTCTGAGGCCCGAGGCAGGAGGCTTGTGACAATACCTTCTCTGGCTTCCCAGTGGGTTGGATCACTGGGTGAGAGGAAATGGCTGACGACACCCACCCACCCACTCACTTCTGTCAGCCTGGGGGCGGTGCCCTTTGTCCTCCGAAGTTGGCATTCGTGCATTCCACGTTCTCTTCCCTTCCCTAAAACGGGGTGTGAGCCATACAGCGCGCAGGGATCACATTATTTCCCACATTCCTGAAGAGGAATCTTAGGTTCAGAAAGGGGGCGTGGCCCTCACAGGGTCAGGTGAGTCGCCTGTGATGTCACATCTCAGCAGCCCCTTCAGGGCCTCAGCCCTGGTGGTAGGAGGACCAAGGCCAGGCAGGCTGGGCTAACCCCTGGGGAGCTGCGGGCTCCAGGTCCTCTGGAGAGTGCTAGGAGGGCTGCTCGGAGAACCCAAAGAGGGGGCATGGCCAGGGATGTCTCTGCCCCACCACTGAGACAGCACAGAGCAATTAAGGACCGATGAAGACAGACCGGCAGGATGGCATTCCAGGGCCCTCTTGCCCAGATCAGACTCAATTACCGGGCATAATTATATGCAGAAGTGCTGTGGGGTAGCTGCCCGCACATGCCATTTGAAGCTACTGGGGGAGATGCTTCTTTCTTTGACTCTAGTTACCCCCTTTGGGATCCTGCCTTATAGACCCACCTATCAAACTAAAGCCTCCATCAGAGATGATGGAAATGGATTCTGGGGGAGACCATGTCTGATGTCAACATCTCTTTTAGGACACTCATCCCGGTTTATTCTCAAGAGACACCACACCCCTTGACTCTGGTCTCCAAGGTTCATGGACTTCCCTGGTGGCTCAGATGGTAAAGAATCTGCCTGCAAGTCAGGAGACCTGGGTTCGATCCCTGGGCCAGGAAGACCCCCTGGAGAAGGGAATGGCAACCCACTCCAGTATTCTTGCCTGGAGAATCCCATGGACAGAGGAGACTGGCAGGCTGTAGTTCATGGAGTTGCAAAGAGTCAGACATGACTGAGCGACTAACACTCTGAGGCTCATGGGTAGAGTTAAGGCCCCAACTTGCCCACAAATACTCGAACCATTCACTTCCACCCCAGGATTCACCCCAGTTTTGAAGAATGGGAAGGTCTTACCTCGAGTTTTGTTTTCTTTGGGAGAGAGAGAGATGGTCCTTCCTTCCTGAAGATAGACAAAGAACTGGTAGCGATGTAAGCCACTGTGTGCTGGTGGGGAGGGAGGCTGGTAGGCTATGGGAAGAAAAAGGAGAGAGGGTGGGCTCCATGTGCCCCAGGACACAGGGGCTCTTGGATGCTCTGGGAAGGGGGCAAAGGGTCAGTCTTGGTCCTATTCATGGTCCTCGCTGACCCTCCTGGGGTCCCAGCTGTTGTGGTGGGGGGGTCCACATACTGCAGACCATCAGGCTTTATCTTGGGCAGAAGATAAAGCGACTGGTCTTCAGTCGCTTCATTTAAGAAGCGCATTATTTGGGGGGGTGGGGGGAGGGGGAGGTGTGGGCAGGTTGAAGGTCTTGGGTGCTGGCTGGACTCTTGGGCCTTTCCAGACCAGTGGGTGTTGGTGTTGTCCCCTTTCTGCTTTGGTCTATCCTGATGGATTTCCTGCCTCAAGAGAAACCCCATCTTCCTCTGCAAGTGTGTTTGGCAGGGGATTTTTATTTATTTTCTCAGCATTTCCTTATGAACTCAATCCCCAAAGAAGCCAATTTCTTGGCTGGATCCGGAGGATCTGGAAGTGGTTACGGGGGTGGGTGGGACTCGGTTCAAAGGTTTGATCATGGAAGCTGTAGGATCTGGGTGCTTGGGGCACCGGGAGCTGACTCAGGCTCTTCCGGAGGAGAGTGCCCATCTCCCCTCCTTTTGCTCTTTGTGCAGGAGGCACTCTTTGTTGAGGGGGAGATGTGGAGTGGGGACATCTCTCATCCTTCCCCTAAGTTTATGCAGGGCTCCAGGGGTTTTGCGGGTCGGACTTCTGCAGACTGTTCCAGCTGGGCCTCCTTCCAAGAGTGTGGTGCCTCTTTTCCCGCCCCTCTGCTCCCTTCATCTTTCTTTCCAAGGAACCAAGCATCTTCCAAGGGGTGGGTGGGGATGGAGTGTTTGCAAGGATGCTGCTGGTGGCATGGAGCATTGGTACATGATGGCCACCTCCCTCTCCTGATCATCAATTAGACAAGAATCACTTGCTTCTCGGAGTGGTGGGGGCGTTCCTCATGGTGCACTTCCGGCCTCTGGTGCGCTCGCAGCCAGGGGAATTCCTGACTATTCATTCCTCCCTGGGTTTTTACATTGCAGAGCAGATGTGTGTGTGTGTGTGTGTGTGTGTGTGTGTGTGTGAACCCAGGGTCTGGCAGAAGTCGTGTGAGTTGTGTGAACCAGGGTCTACACTGGGATGGATGCAGGTTTTGCAGGAACTGGTGGGCATGTGTGCCCAGGCTATTTTGGAGGGTCTCTGCCAGTGTGTGCATGCGGGTAAATTGACATTTTTTTTTCTTAAACAAATATTACTGACCAGTGATGGATCTCAGTGGTTCTGTTCAGTTGGGAATTTGTCCTGGGGGAGATGGAGATGGAAGCGCTTCTCACTAGGGTGTTCCTGAAGAAACTCTCCCTCCAAAAGTAGAGCTGAGAGGCATGAGGAGGAAGGGAATGGGACACATTTGTTGAGCTGCATCTTGGGGCCAGGCTCCAGCTAGGTGCTTTCCCATGTTACTTAGTCACGAGTGTTAGTCGCTCAGTTGTATCCAACTCTGCGACCCCGTAGAGTGTAGCCCGCCAGGTTCCTCTGTCTATGGGAATCTCCAGGCAGGAGAACTGGAGTGGGTTGTCACATCCCCGGAATCCTCATCACGACTCGGGAAGGCGGGTATTAAGGCCATTATCTAGATGAGGAAACTGGGGCTCTGAGTGATGAAGTCAGGCTGACAGTCAGTGGTGGAGCTGGGCTTTGAGTCCAGGCCTGTCTGGTGCCCGAGTCTGTGTTGCTTCACCAAACCATGAAACTCAGTTGGTTTTTTCCTTGCTCAACCCTTTGCCAGAGGCCAGCTCACCCCTGGAGCAGTTGCTTCAAGCTGAGTGGTGGGCCTGCCCTTGCTTGGGTGGATCCCAGAGGGAAAGGAGGCGGGGAGCTGGTGGTGAGGATGGGGGTGGGAAGAAGAGGGGATTGGAGAAAAGGACGGTCCATGCAGCTACATAGAAGGGCTGGGAGAGAGCAGGGAGGGGACCAAGCCCATCTGGGGGGCAGTTCTGATTCCGGGTTCTGTCTCAGCAGAGCCCTGTAAGTTAATGTGGGCTCCATGATGGCAGTGACCTTAAAGGACAATTGTGAAGATTAAATCAGAACGTCCAAGTGAACTTGGGGATCAGTGCTTCCCACACCGTGACGCTGTATTGCTATGATGCTTGTCAGTGCCCTGGCTGGGGGGAGGGGCCCTGGAGGGTGTCACTCACGCGATAACTCCTGGCCCTGAATCTTCCCTATCTTCATGTCGGTGCCCTGAAAATAAGAGACAGGCATGGGCAAGGGTTACTCCCAGGGCAGTGGAAGGCCACACCATCCACTCAGTCCCAGTGGGCTCTGCTGAGTTCTCGCTTTCTCTCTGAGAGAGCCGGATGGGAAAGGAGGAAGCGGTCTGGCTGTCCTGGGGGATGCTGCTGGGACAGGCTGTGGGGTTTAGAATGGTGCCTCATGGGGTCTGGGAGAGACAGATCCAGACATTGTTGGGGATGACCTGCTGGCGAGGCACGGACCCCCTGATCTATGGAGAACTTGAGAGGACCCTTCCGGAAGAGACATCCCCCCTCACCCTCCGTGCCCCCAGGCTGAGCCCAGGATGCACCTCTCGGCCTGTGGGTCTGGTCAGATCGAGTGCCTGGGCTGACCATGCTCACTGCTTGCCCATCCTCTCGGGCTCTCTTTGGGACCTTCAGAATACTCGGCCAACGGCTGCTTGAGCAGCCAGCAGGGCAAGGGAGGGCCAGAGGAGGCTGGGCCGCCTGATTCTGAGGCTCGAGGGGACTCAGTCCACCATGCTGGGTGGCTGGGGCAGCCTCAGTGTCCCCGTCCCTCCCCCTTTCCCTCCCCCTCCCTCCCCTCAGTGTCTGTGAGATAATGAGGTGATCCCGGGCGGGCGCTAATTACTGTTTGTGCAGGGCCGGGAGGTGCTCAGATGAAAGGCGCCGGAGCTGGGCCCCTGGGTCTGTGCCCAGCTCTGGGCCCCGGGCCATGCCAGGGAGTCCTGCGGCCCCTAGGTGTGGGGTTTTATAGCCTTAATGATGGTGATTAGTGCGGCTCTTCACTGGTTCTGCCAACACCTAACTGTGCCCCGGCCGCCTCTCCACCCGGCCCTGCTCCTTACCCGTGAGAGGAGGTGNGCCAGGGAAGCCCAGCCCAACCTGGCCTCCCCCTTGCTCCCAGCCTCCCCCTCATTCCTTCCCAAGTCAGCCCGGCCAGTGGTTTGTTTAAACAAAACAATAGCAACCTAGGCCGGCTGTTTCTTTTCAATTCCCCACAGGCTTGGGTCCCACCCAGAGTGATAAACAGGCCTCTATCCTGGTGTAAGCACTGGGAGGGGGCGAGGGCGCGGTGGGCCCTGGGCCTGTGGGGTCAGAGCAGTGTGGAAAGTCTGATCCAGGAGGGTGGGGAGGCTCTCCGTCCCCTCCCTTTCACTCTGGGGAGTCTTTTTCTCATCGGCCGGGGCCGGCTTGGCAAGGACACATGCAAACCCTTAGTAACACTGGCGGCCCTTCCTGCCTGCCTTCCCCTGCCCACTGCCCCCGAGATCGGCCGAGGCAGCTGCCAGGGGCCATGAGCAGACGGCACTGATGGCCTGAGAGCCTAGAGGGTCTCCCTGGACCCTGTCCTGGGACAGATGCTGATCCTTGTTGGCAGGAAAAGCACCGTGGAAAGTTCAGAGAGAGGACCAGGCAGCAGGAGGGTCCCTGAGTGTGGTCAGCTCGGCTGCTATTTACTCAAGTTGGGTTGGGAATTGGCTAAGCTCCCCTTTGGCCATCCCCTTCCCTCACTTCTCTGTCCTCGGGGGCTTAAAGTTTCTACCACAGAACTAACACCTGGTGGGGGTCTTAGCAAACCAGATCCAAGGGTGAGCAAGTTGAGTCCCCAAAAGAGCTCAGACATGGCCAGCACCACACGAGTGGTGAGTGAACAAATGCCCGAATGTTCTAGGAGGAGGGACCCTCAGACCTGTTGACCTTGGACCCACAATACTTCTTCTAAGACACTGGGACAATCCCATTCCTTCTCTAGGAGGTTTTTGGGAACAGTGAAAGGCTTAGCTGCTCAGTCGTGTCTAACTCTTTGCGACCCTGTGGACTTCAGCCTGCCAGACTCCTCTGACTATGGGATTCTCCAGGTAAGGATGCTGGAGTTGGTAGCCATTTCCTTCTCCAGGGGATCTTCCCAACCTAGAGACTGAACCCGGTTCTCCTGCAACGCAGGCAGATTCTTCACCATCTGAGCCACCCACCATCATGTATTTATTTTTTGGGCTGTACCCTGTGGCATGCAGGATCCTTGTTCCCTGACCAGGGACTGAACTGCATTGGAAGAGTGGAGTCTTAACTGCTGGACCACCAGGGAAGTCCCAGGAAGACCATTATTAATGTGTACAGATGTTACCCGGCTAGTGGAGGACAGAGAGGCCTGGAGTGCTGCAGTCCGTGGGGTCGCAAAGAGTCGGACTTGACTGAGTGACTGAACACCGTTACCTGGATGACTGGGGCTCCTGTGGCAGTGATTATGCCCCCTCAGCACCACCCCCGTCCTGTGTGAAAACATGAACTCTCCTAAAGCATCGTCGTGGCCTGCAGTGTCACCTTAGAAAGCTGGAAAGTCACCTTAGACAGCTGGAAAGCTCTGGAGATGGAGGAGACTCGGGGGAATTTTGAAGAGAAGAGGGAAATCTATTATTCAGAGGAGGCGGGGCTGAGGGAAGTACCCTGAGAGTGGCAACAAGCTCAGCCCTTGAGGACCAGACCCCACACCTGTTGACTCTGAGCAGAGCGGAGCTTTGGCAGGAGAGCCTTGGGAGGGGAGGGGCTCCCTTCCGCTCCCCATCGCCCCACTCTCGGCCCCCGAGTGTGCCGCTCCTCTTTAAGACTGGCACAGACAGAGCTTCCTTTCCCTAACTACAGCTAAGACAGGTGGACATTTTCAAAAGGAACTTGTCTGAATGCGATTCTTGAAAAGGAAATCATGACAGAAATTACACACAGCATGAAAACAGTTGGATTGCTAATTCTCAAAAACACTGAGAAGTCCGGGATGGGTTTCTGGGATTTCAGGATGGGAGCACCAGAGGCGCTTGGGAGGGTGTCCTGGGCCCTTCTAAGTCACAGGGACCCGGTGGCCTTAGGACAGCAACTCCTTTCCTTATCCGCATCCTCTGGAAATGCGGAACCCATCACTCAGCATCCTCTTAGCGGGGGGAGGGGAGGAGGAGGTGGGAAATTGCTAAGTTGGACCCTTAAATGCTCGGGATGTAAGACAGTCTCCTCTCTTTCTTAGACTCTGGTGCTTGATGTGTGCATATGGGCATCCATGTGTGTGTAAACGTGCATGTGTGTGCATGAAGGGTGTGTACAGAGCTGGCTGGCATACAAACTGACACATACTATCTTAATCAGAGAGAAGCTCAACTCTGTGGACCCTATGGAGGGATTTCCTGGTTTATAGAACAAGAGACTTTCCTTCCAGCTCTCTCCCACCTCAGAACCCATCGTGTGTTGTTGAGCTAGTTTGAAACTGACATGTGAGATGTTTGAAACTGACATGTGAGATGTTTAAGAAGAGCTGGGGCTCCACAGGGAGTTGCAGCAGCCTCATTTCACGGACCGGGGTGATGCAGGCTGTCTCAGCCAGGTTGTTGTTCTGACCGGGGCTTGTCTCAGGGCAAGTAAAGAACACAGTGCTGGGCTTTCCTGGTGGCTCAGAGGTAAAGAATCCACCTTGCGAATGCAGGAGACACGGGTTCGGTCCCTGATCCGGGAAGATCCCAGATGCCATGGAGCAACTCAGCCTGTGCACCACAACCGCTGAGCCTGTGCTCTGGAGCCGGGGAGCCACAGTTACTGAGCCCGTGCCCTAGAGCCCGTGCTCTGCAACAAGAGAAGCCTCTGCGGTGAGAAGCCCGAGCACCGCAGTAGCCCCTGCTCGCCACAACCAGAGAAAAGCCTGAGCGGCAACGGAGGTGCAGCACAGCCTAAATAAATAAATAAAATTATTAAAAAACAAGCAAACAAACACAGTGCTGGAAGCTGACAGCTGCCCCCCATCCCATCTCACATGTGTAATGAGCTTTTAGTACTTATTCTCCAGGATACTGTCCAATCAATGGATCTGACAGCAGCTCTTTCATGGGAAGGGCAGAGATTGGCCTCCACATTTGACTGGAGAGAAACCCAGAGAAGCTTCAGCTTCTCAAGGGCAAGGGCTGTATCCTTTCCATCTTTGTAGCTCTCAAGATGCTTGGCACATAGGAGGGGTGTTAGGTGTTCTCGGAGCCCTGGCCCATGCCCTGGCTCACTGGCTCCACCTTCAACCTGTTTCTCCTGGTCCCAGGGCCAGCACCAGCCTGCAGAGCTTGCTTCACCCCCAGCCCCCAAGCATCAGGGCAGATGTGCTGGGGTGTTAAAGTTCCCTGGCAACAGCTCTTAACCAATGACTGATGGGAATTGGTGTATAAGTGCTCCAGGAATCTACAGTGGAACTTGCGTTTCATGAACCTTCCTTCTCCTGTCTTACCTGCTGCCTCGTTAATGCTCTCTCGTGTCCCCAACAAAATAAACTACTTGTGCTAAAATACTTGTCTCAGGCTCTGCTTCTGGGGGACCCCAAACTAAGACAGCTTTAAGGGTCCAATAGTCACCTGGAGATGAATGAAGGCTTTGTCTTCAGAGGTGGCTGACTTTTAAAAACAATCTTATTTACTTATTTTTGGCAGTGTCGAGTCTTAGCTGTGGTACGTGGGCTTCTCTCTGGTTGTGGAACGCCATCTCAGTAGCTGTGGCGTGCAGGCTTAGTTGCCTGCTGGCCTGTGGGATCTTAGTTCCCTGACCAGGAATCGAACCTTTGTCCCTTGCATTGAAAGGCAGAGTCTTAACCACTGGACTACCAGGGAAGCCCCTCGGTCCTAGCCTCTTCTGATGAGACCACACTGTTACTGTCTGGACCTGGATCCTTCTGCCTTCCCAGGCCAGGCCCCAGAGTTCCCTGACAGAATTGGTCCCCGACATACCGTGTATGTGCTAAGTCACTTTGGTCGTGTCTGACTCTCGCATTCCCGTGGACTGTAGCCTGCCAGGCTCCTCTGTCCATGGGATTTCCCAGGTAAGAATACTGAAGTGGGTTGCCATTTCCTCCTACAGGGGATTTTCCCAATGCAAGGATGGGACCCTGAAATACTAAACCCTTGGAAAGCCACAAATAGGTGAGCCATCTAGATGAAAGTCACCTCAGTCCTTTATTTCTTATCCCCT